TTAGTGTGATCATTCTTTTTGCTACAACAACCATTTGCAGAAGGAAAGACTTGAAGAGAGTCTGTCCCTCAGAATGGTAAAATTTAGGATGAGAAACATGTTTGCTGTAAAAAATTTTGGGGGCTTCTGAAGTCCTTTTAAAATAACAGGGAAGTATGTTTTACTCTTGGTAAGTTTAATTAAGTGCCATATAATATCTCTCTCATTCCTTCTGTTTTAGTCATCGGACTGCCACAGCTGTCACAGATGTGGCTATCAAACTGTCTGAAGTATTTGTTTTAACAAATGAATTTGTGCTTTGGCAGCTTTCTCAGGCAGTGAAGTTGGTGGACTTTTAAATTACTGCTTGGATACTTATGAGATTGGCTGCCAATGTCCATTTAATTTGGGTTTTATCTTTCTGTGTGCACAGTAATTTTTATGAGATTTTCTTTGCTCATTTCTGAGGGAATTATACAGCTGCTTTTTGGTTTTCTGTATGCTTCCAGCCCTTTCCAGGATATGCAACTCTGCAGATGCCTTCCCTGCTGGAAATGTTTGAAATTTATCCTGTGAATACAGGGCTGGAAGAGAGTACCCATGTCACTGAGTCCAGCGTTCAGGCAAAGCAATGTTGTTGACACTGAATTCAGCACATTCATTCTGTTACATATCACTAAAAGATCCTAAAACAATGTTACACTTCAGCTACTAAAATTAGACTATAAATATGTTGCATACAGTATGTAAAAACAAATTACCTGACCAAATGTTATAAAATACTGTTGTTAAATCCTCATGAGAAAAAAAAAATACACAAGGTAGCCATCATTCTAGCATTTGCTATCAATGAACATTTAATATTGAAATTTCAAAAACTTTCTAAATAATTGTATGTACAATAAAGTACATATAAATTTTTCTATATTTTAAATGTGTATTCTTTTTTAAGATATTTTAATTTTTTCCTCGAGAAAATGTCCCTCTTAGCTTCACATTTTTAAGAAGGTTCTATTTACTTAAAGCTTTGCAAAGAATACAGGCATCTACCTCTATGAATGTCTCATAGTGACCTCCTAATATTTATGTCCTCCATATTTAATTGGAACACATATTGGAGTCTTGACATGATTATGACTTCATCCATATTTAGTTCTTGTAGAGGTAAGAAGGAAGATTATTTTTCTCCTTATATGAGTAAAGACTGAGGGGGAAAAAAGGGATCTTCACCATCTGAGTTACTAGATGCTGATTCTCAGAAGCATAGTTAGAAGTCTTTCATAAATAAATAACTGCAGTTCCACTTCTCCAAAGATTTATCCTACTTGAGATGTAACAAAGAAATTTAGATCGAGAGAGCTTGTAACATCCATGATGTTGAATTGCCAGAGTTCAGTCATATCTTTCTTAATGGATGTAAAATACCACCCTTAATTTTAGTGTGGAAATGTAATTTGACAGCAGTCTATATGGTGCTAATGGTTGTAGAGGTTGAAAAGTCATGGACTACTAGTATGTATAATTTTTTGGGGGACCACTTTTTTTAGTCAACTGTGGATATGTAAACAGCTGAAATTGCTATGGAGTCACTGTATGACACTATTTATTGCTCTACTGTTTTTCATGCAACATAGCCCTGTGTCTGCAGTGAAATCTGTATTAAAACTTCAGATACAACTTTCTCACTAAACTTACATAAAATGTTCTTTCCCATGCTTCCTTCTAACACTTGTTAAATGCAGAAATTTTTTACACTAATATTACTTGTATTAGGATGTAACTGGCATTAATGAGCATACTGAGTTTCAAAAATGAATTCTAGACCAGTAGGAAGGCCTGCAGACTCCTGAGTCATCTCAGTGGTTTCACATACAGAATGAGTGAGAAACTGCTAATTATTTTCAGACACCAGGAAGAACTGCTCTAGGAAATTCTTCCATATATAGAGTAACATCTATAACTGTTTTCCTCTAATGACAGTATTTCCAAGTAGTATTATTAATAGTCTAGAACAAATATATTTTTATTCTCCATCTTATGCCAGAAAGTCTCTTTCTGATCTTCGATTTAGTATTTCCTAAGTACATCTGTATGTACAGCAACAGCCTCTGAAGCTTCTTTTACTTAATATTATTTTTTCCTAATCATTCATTATTAAAATTTTGATTTTTTTTCAGTTTCTAATCACCAGAATAATAACATTAAGAACTCTTTGAATATATCAAACCTTCCAGAATCACGTTTGAAACAGTAGTTTCAAATTCTCACAAGCTTTGGAAATTTCTCTCCTTTTTATTCCTTCCTCATATGAAACAGAACCCTTTCAAAGATTCATTCTTTCCAGTAGACAGCTATTCTTTACCTCTCCTTATCACTATCTGAAAACCATGCAGCTCTTCCTCTTAGGAAGTCTCTCTAGCCTATTTAATCTGGTGGCTATAAAGCTGAATATTAAAAAAAAATAAAAAACTGGAAGGCTATTGTGCTTTTCTGAGTATCTGCTTCTCTTTGTGAGTTTCTTATCACGGTCTGTTGCATTTCTGGAAAGTTCAAGCTGTGCTGAAATGCTTTCTATATTTTTCATTTGTCCCTTCTAGTCTATAGTCTCTTACTTGCAGTCTTTTATGCATGATGAATGATAACAGTATATCTGAATTCATAACCGTAACAAGTCTATCAAGTAATACGTAATGACCAAAAGGTATGGAAAAGACCATGTGAAGACAAATGAAGTTTTCCTAGTGTTAGCCTACTCATAAGTGAATACTCAATCTGATTCTAGTCACAACTGCTCCTGAATGTGACATTTCCATCCAGTCAAATCTGTTTGAGTGATATAGTTGTAAAATCTAGTTGAGTTTTTTAATCCAACATAGGTCAGAAAATTAGAAGACTATGAATGAAAACCTATAAAGTTCCTTCACAGAACTATATTTCTTCAGAATATATATATTTCTCATACTAAGTTATTCTATTAACCCTTTAGATATTTTCTTATTGTGCTGTTTTAACAATGCTGTATTTTTATGTTTGCACATTCCCATGTAAAAATTATAATGGAGTCTTCCTTGGATATGCTTTAATCTCTTCCCTTAAGCTTTTGAACATTCAGCAAGGTTTTTTGTTATAACTTGTTTCCAAAGGAAACGTTGTAAATTTTATGCTAAATTTTACATGCTGTATTATGCTGGGCAAAAAGATAAATTAATGGGAATAATAGTTCCTCTTATAAGTCTTATGCATAAATAAAATAAAATTAAAAAATGACAATAAAGACAGCTTTAAATATAAATGCCTCAGGGTGTATATTTTAATTATCTTTTCTAAGTAAGGAAATTAATATGTCATCATTCTGGTAATACTTGCCTGTCTCTCTCCTGAGTGCTTAACACTTTCCTTGCTAACTGTTCTGGTGTCCTTGTGGCACTTGGGGTCACACAGATGGGGAACACCCCTACCAGACCTAGGCAGACTGTTAACATAAAGCTTTTCCTGTGGAAAAACTGGCACTTGCTCTGGAGTGCATTTTCTCTATCCTTCACTTTTAAACTGAACTGTCAGCAGGCAGTTGCACTATATGACTTATAGTCTATACTATATGACTTATAGTCTATACTATAGTCTATACTATATATATACTATAGTCTATACTATATAGTCTATATACTATATGACAGTCTATAACTATAGTTATACTATATGACATATGACTTATAATATATAAGCCTACTTTATATGCTATTCATTAGATGTCCCTTAATAAATGACTGACAAGCCAAATCTGAAAGGTTTCATCAATGATGTGTCAAAATGTAGCATGATTAACTCTCAAAACATAGAAGTTACTGTGATGAGGTTGTCAGTTTGTGTTCATTTTTTTGCTTTACTTGCTTTGACTTGCAAAACCTATCATTGTTTAAAATCATGAACCTGAGACTATCTCCCTGGTTCATTTGGGTTTCAGGATGGGTTTCTATGCAGTGCTGGAATCAAATACTTTACAGTGAATTTGTAGAGGAGCAGATAGACAAGTCTTCTGGGAAACCCAACACTTTCACACTTTATTTTAGTACCCTCCCTTAGCCTGCACAAGAGTATAATTTATCCTTTAGCTTATATCACCCATGAAGAGCCATTTCAGAAGTTAGAGAAGACTTATATATGACACAAGATTGGATTCTGGTTTCAAAGCTTATTAGAATCTAAGATTTAACACTGATTCAAGTAACTTTGAATCAACCCTTTGTTCATGGTGTTTTGTGAGTGCTGTTTTTAGCATTTAAGATGTCTTACTGTATGAGGTAGAAATTGTGATAACTGCTGTGTACTATGCATGCGTCCAAAACTTGTGCTGTGGCATCCCTATAATGTTTTTCAAGAAGTCTTAAACTGAATTGATCTGAAGTCAGCCAGGTACAGAGCCCAACCGAGAGAGCAAACTAACAGCGTGGCAGTAGGCTTGATTTCGAGTCTAGTATGTAAGATCATTCCATAATCATCTTCCTTTATTATGGGTGTATTTGTTATAGATACACGCAGTCATATCTACTGTGTATTAATAGGCCATATTGCAAAGTACAGATATAGCATGTATGAGCAGCACTTCAGTTAACCTCCTCTCAGATGAAACAAGGAGGCCAAAATGGAATTAAACACTGATGCACTTCCTTATCCTACCTTTTGCTGATAAAATACATCAGTGATAGACTAAGTCTAATCTATTAAGTACTCAGGAGAAGGAGCACTTAACGTCCCTTTAAACCAGTTAAGTTGGGTTTCATGGGTTTTTGTTAAGCTTACTAGATTTTCTTCCATGTTGTGTATCAATTCTTCTGGTGGAGATCCAGCACATGAAACTAAAAAATGAAGGTCATATATGTGTTTCAAGAGCTGTGGGTATAATGGGCTATTTTACTTCAACACATATTGTCAACATACATTTCCTAAAATCTTTAGATCCACTCTGTATCTGCTTTGAATTGTTGTGGATGAGAAAGTGCAGATTTCTTCCACGTGTATTTCTCTTGCTTAAAATAGTTGCTGCTACACAGAACCAAATCCTGAAACCTTTATTCATTATTTATTATGCTAAAAGTTCATTTATTTCTGAAAGATTTCTGCATGAAGTTTTGGTGGTAGCTGAAAGTTATGGATATGTTCTAGCATCATTATTTAATATTAGATTCTCTTGTTGGATGTCTGGCCTGGATTGATCCTACCTGGCTGCAGGTACCCACATTAAGAACTTTGTTGTTTTATATTTTTTCTATAATAATTTAATGTCTGAGTTACCTTGTGGAATTGCTTGTCTTTCCCTAATTGCTTAGAAGGAATTTAGGATGACAAGGCTCCTAATTTAGTTCCTGGATACAGGAGAATAAAAAGCTAGCTGAGCCCAAAGGACAGCTTAGCTTGAAACAAGGGGATGGAAGATAGAGCTCTAATTGCAGAAAGGGTGTCTTTCACTCTAGAAATTATTTGGTATAGGTGAAGAATTGTTCACATGGAAACATATTAAGAAATTCCAAATAATTCAGATTTTTCTTTTTTTTTCAGAAAGTCTGTATCACTAGGAAGCAGGCAATTTACAGGTCAAACATCCAAAAAATATAGCTTTATCTTTCTCAGGATTTTGGTGTAACACAAATGCCAGTTAATGAGTTGAATTGCTGTGTTTACCAAACTTATGCAGAAGCTTTATTTATGTTTTCAAGTGATTTGGGTACAGATTTGATTCTTATTTTAATGTTTCTGGGAAAAGTAATTAGAGCTTTTCCATTTTTACAGCTTTTCAACTGGTTCAGCAAAGACGTTTGTTGGATTTTTAAAAACTTATTCAAGTTAGCTTATTCAAATCTTGGTCTCAGTTTGTGTTTCTCTTCTCAGTAATGGTGCCTGATATAAGTCCTTCTAAATATAGTTGAACAAGCTAAAAGACCACAAGAGCAAAGAAACATGAAGTCATCTCTACTTCATCTAAGCAAATATGGATGTTAAAACATCTAGACCCCCAACTGCTTTACATTTCTAACTTAAGAAATAGAAATGTGATACATGCTGAGAAGGTCTGACTGCAGGAAGCTGTTAAAATAATGAGCAATTTATTTTGAGGGATAATAAGGGTTTAGGTCTGACTGCCTACAATGAGAAAAAACAAATGTAATGCAATTGAAGTATATGAAATTACACTGGTGTGAAAGAGCTCAGAATAAAGGGTTCTAAATGTATTTTCTGGTTCAAATATATCGATAAACAAAGTTGAATTTTTCAGGTAATATAAAAAGTTTGTATAATCGGGTATATTAGGATTAATTCTATGGCTTTTCCACTGTTCATGGAAAGTGCCTCAGCTTTATTGCTTATATCCGAGGCCTGGTCCTTTAACTACTGTTCACCTTGAAATGGACTCTATTCAAGTGAAAGCATTACAGCCTGTAGACTCACTGAGGTGGATAATGTTTGAAGGGCTCAGCCTTAAACTGATGAGTTGGTTTTTAAAAAAGTCCACATTAAATTAAAACACAGTTATGACTTTATGGTTTAAAACAAAGTAGCTTATTTTCCTATTTACAATCAATTCACACAAAAATTGAAGTATATCTAAATACTTTATGATGCATTTAAATCCTATTATAGAAGTCTTGTATGTCAAAACACCCACAAAGTTCGTTTTTTTATCTTTTTCTGTTGGGTTATGGAAAAATTCTAGAGAGTACTCTGTCATCCTATTATTCTCTGTGTAGCAACAAATGAAAATGCTGGATAAAAGTATTCTATTTTTACCTAGAAGAAGGCTAAAGTGAAAAAGAAAAAAAAAATCTATAATATAAAAGCCCAAACATTCTTTGTAGGTTTCATCAGGTCACTTCACTGTGTAATGTACTGTCATGTCACCTCAGATACAACGGGAAAGGATTTGGCATGATGTCACCTGAGATCATTATGATCAGGACAGACTCTTTCTAGCTTAGAAAAAAAATTATGTCAGTTATAAGAAGACACTGGGGATCAAAAAACATAGTTTCTGACATTTCTCACTTGGAAATATTTAGAAGAGCATTTTATAACATGGCAAAATTAAGCCAGTATTTTCCACAATGGTGTAGGTTCCACCCTTCACTATAAACAGTTATAATTTTCTAGGAAAAAAACCCAACTTGATTAAACCAAAGAAGATTCTTCTCTAATCAGTAGAATATGTTGCCCAGTGGCAAGACACCATGTGTCTCTCTCCCAGTATTGTTGAAGAAGCTAAAACTGGAATTTTATTCCTGTTTCCCATGATTTTGAGATATTGTTTGCTTTCAGATAGTTCTAAGTTGGGTATTCCAGTACGACAGTTATTCTGACAGGTTTGTTCTCAATTTCCCATGTATTGCAAAGGGGTCACATGTAGACCTGCAAAAGGCATCTTGAGTTAATGTAATTCTTAATGATCAAAACTAGCCCCAGATCTCCAGTTCAGAGTGGCATTAACTGTATGTTTTTTTCCTTACAAGAAAACACCATCAGGATATCAGCTCTTGCTCCTTGCTCCTTTTGTTACACTGCTGGTGTAAGTAAACTTCAAATTCACACATGACAATATGGTTCCTGAAATTATTGTGTTACATATACATCTCGGTTAAATTTATATATATAAGTTGTAATTTAAAATTACTGGAATTGGTTTCAGCTAGTAAAAATCTGTATGGCACTCTATGTAAGTCACATTATGTAAAGTCCTGTATGTCACATAATATAAATACAAAACTAAAACTTCGTTTTGTCTAGGCAGCTGTTTTCAAGCTAGTCATAAATGAAATAACTTGGCACAACTAACTGCTTCTGTTGTTGTGGGCCATTCTTACCAAAACAAACTAAGTTTGAAAATCATCTGTTCAAAGGATGACAAGTGGAAGTTTTTTAGGCTAATTTGACATTGTTCTGGCTTGTGTTCAGCATTCTGGTTTCTGGCAGAGGAAAGATAAAAGCCCACTGGGAGAGAGAACAAGGGGATGTTTTTTTTCCTTATCTATTTATAATAGTACCAAAGAAATCACTTTTAGAAAACCAGCTAATCCTGAAGTCTTGAGGAGAAAGTGACAAAAAGTCATCCTTTGCTGCACAGATGGTTCATGACAAACACAGCAGGAGCAACAGCAAAGCATTAATTTGTTCAGTTCAAGAGATCTGCTAGTCTGCTGACAGTGTCACAAGAAATATAGCTGAACAGGTAGAAGCAGAGCTTCAGATTCAACTGGTTTATATCTTAGCTAAACTTTTCTCTAAGTTTTGTATCATTGAAGTCTTAATTCATAAGCATGTTTAAATTTTAAATATGCTTCTAAATTAATTTTTAATAAGATTGTACTCCTTCATGAATGAGAAATGTTCTGTGCGGTGAAATCAAAGGCAATCTGAATGCCAAAAAGATACATGGATAAATAAATAAATGCAAGATAATTAGTGTTTGTGGATTTGTTTTTAACGTCTCAGTTATCAATGAGTTTAAATTATACAGATTCTTTGTATGCATTATATCATCTAATATTTGACAATCATTGTGTATGTCTGCAATATTTTGTAGCACAACCATTACCAAAATATCAGCTTATTAAAAAATTAATGAAATGCTTGTTTCTGATCTTCAGATTTTGGGGACTACATTTAATCATTACATAGTCATGAAATACATGGATCCTTGGAGTGGTAGATACACGTGTGGAATAACTACTGGGATCCAATCTACAAATGGATGATTGACATCTGTGCCAACAAAGAGGGACAATATTAATGGCCACCATACACAACTGTGGGCTTCCACAGTCCAATTTTTCAAGCTTATATTTTCAGAAACATTAATTTAAAAAAATTTTTTTTTTTAAAGAAGATCTTTCTTTATTGAAGAACTTGTATTTAACATATGGCTTTGTATTTATACACTTATATATTTGAAATAAATGATACCATATTACTTTTATGTTTATAGGTGCAGGGCATAGAGTTCATATGATCAAACAAGGTATGCAAAAGTGAGTGTTTTTTTTCTTCCAGGTACTTGACAAAAGGCTTGTACACAGAGTTACTGAAAGAAAAAAAAAAGCATGAGATTTCATGTGTCCTCCCCTAGCCTTAGTGTTTGCTACTACCTTACTCTAGACCATTGCTCTTAATCCACTTCCTGAACCTGGATCTTTCAGACACTATTGTGTATTCTGTTTGAAGGACTAGAAAGCTGACGTTCAGCCCATAGATCGTTGCAATTTTTTGAACACTCTGGTTTAATTCCTGAATTTATCCTTGAACCACATCTGGACAGATAGATGCAAATTAAAACTGGAGAGAATTAACTACATATTTGCTTTTTTTTTTTTTTTTAATTGATAGAATGCTATTTGTCCAAAACGTAGGTTTAAGATTATTGTATTTAAAGGAGACAGGAAACTAATAATAGACTATACTGAAAAAAAAACCCCACAATGGAGAAACAGTCTAGGAAATTATTCTGGCATACTAATTTACAAATAAATATTAAGGATGCGTTATTTATAACCAAGGAAACCCAACTATCATTTCATCTATAAAATGGTGGAAAAATCCTGTTTTTTCTGAAAGTTTTTGTTACCATAGTTGAGAGTTTTGTTGCTACCCTTTCACCTTCATGATGTACATGCAAAGAGCCTGTCTGCCAAAGGCATTGGTTTAACAGAACAAGTGTAATAGCTGCTAATACCATACAAACCCAAGGAACTATTCTTTAAATCAGCAGTTTGGTTGATGAGTGCAGTCTCTGTCTTTGACTGAAGGAGAATCAAGGCTTAGATCTGTGGTGGTTTTGCTAGTCTCCAAGGTAGAGTGTGCATATTAACCTAATGTGTGAAATTACAAGTGTTACTAAAGAATACATGCCTAGCACCAATGGTGAACTCGTGTTTAAGAGAGGCAGAGATGTTCCTTTAGCAATGTATATGTAAATGTTCTGTGAATATAGAAAAAGCAAATCAGAAAGGAAATAATTCAATAATGGAGATACAAAAAATTCTAGTCTTGCTTCTGATGCTTTCCTGTAACTTAAGGAGTGAATTTTTAACCAAACATATATATATATACACACACACACAAACAAACACACACACAGATATGCACACATCTGAGGGTGCTAGTTCTCTTACAGGGAAATCAAGGACAAATTTGCAGAAGCCAATTCTGAGACTGGCAACAGTGATTACTGTCAAACCTTTTCAGAGGAGGGGGAAATAATAATTTTAGATTCAGATTCAGGAAGAAATATGGATTGACTAAAAAGCTGTAGTTTCTGAAAAGAAAATGGATATATTATATGAACACTTTTATGTCAGAGGCTAAACATTTCCTTTTTTATATTAATTTGATCTAAGTAGTCCGACATTCCCGGAGAATGTTAATATCCAGTGTTATGGGACTCCCTGCTCTGAAGTTGGCAGTCTCTCATCTCTAGCCTCAGCTTGTCTGTCATAGAGGCTGAGGTACCATGTATCCAAATTCATCACTGAAACACTTGTGAGATAGAAATAACCATAGAGCCATCTGTAGTTCATTACCACTAATGGCTACAAACATCCTCTTCCCCAAAACAGAGCCAAAAAAAGGATTAGGATTTGGAGAAAACTTGCAAATTCTGACATATGGTCAGAATAATCCCACCACTATATAAATGACAAATGAAATTTACAGGATTAGATTGTTTGCTATTCTTTGTCAGCAAGAATGGCAAGATCACATGCAGCAGAGGTCTTTGGCATAAATAACACTGATCAGCAACCAAAGCTGTGCACCAATTGCTTATGAGTGTAGGCAAATTATGAAATTGTCTCATCACATATTGAACCAGGTGCAAAATAAACCCTTATTTTATTGCTTTCCTTTTTGAAAAATATTTGTCAAATATTTTTAAAACTAATCAACATTCTATCAAAAAAAATGACAAGCTTTGCCATTTAAGATTAGAAGAAATCTGAATAAAAAGTAGATTTCTTCCCTGAATCCTGAAGAAACTATTACAAGATGCCAAAAGCCTTTCAGCTCTGGTCCCATCTCAGGCTTCCAGTTCCCCACTAGTAAGCAGTAAGCATCAAGTTTGAATAACACATTAAATCAACAGAGTTCAGCCGCAGGCACCGAACAGAGATTACATTAGTGGTATTAAACTGTGACCTACTTGCAAGATCCTGGCCATGGTAAGAACTTGTTCAAAGTATTGCTGTCTGCGCTGATTTTAACACAGTGAATTACAAAATATTTCTGACTTGCCTTTGCAACACAGGAAAAACAGATGGGTTTGTTCTCTCTGACTAAAGCCAAATACTGATGGTAGATACCTGCTGTTCCCCTATCAAGGTATTCTGGGTAACTCCTTAAAAAGGGATTGCATTGTTTCAGTAATAGTTGATCTCAGGACAAACATTTTCTCTTACAGTCCTATGTAACTAGTATCCTTGCACTGTTACAATTATACTACCACAGCACCATCCTACATGGTTGTTGGGCGTTTGGGCATTTGTGTACTATTCCTGTTTTAACTCAGTATCTCTATGAGGTACCTATGAGATTTTGATGAGGTAAACAGGAGTGCTGAAAGAGAATCTAGAGCACATATTTCAATGATGTTACTTCTACGGTTCACTCTCATCTGGTTAAATTACAACTATGTCTACAGAGTTATAAATTAACTTTTAGGCTGTGATTTTGTGTCACAGGATGAAGCAGGCAGCTTAAGCTCTTTGTACTGGTTTTCAAACCCTACATTACACAAGACATCCACAGAGCTTTCATGACGCAGTCCATACAAGAAGCCCATTCCCTTCTGGGGCAGCAGATCTGAGCCCTATGTTTACATGACTGAAAACCTTTTGAGTTCATGTCACACACATCACACTCTTGCCAGAAAGAAATGGTCCCACTCCCTTTTCCTATACCCTTTCACTACTCCTGGCCATGTTGTCCCACTGTTTAATTTGGGCCAGCTCTAACAACCTACTGAATTTGTGTGTCCACGTAACTCATTAAAACAGAGGACATACAACACTATGCAAAACCTGGGTAGTTTTCTTCAAGGTTAGTGAAGTAAACTGAGACAGTGAAAGATTTCAAAGTGTTCTAGTGTAGCACACTGTTACGTTTTCTCCACTGTCTGTGGAAGTGCAGTCTTACATAAGCAGAGAGCTCAAAATGAGAGAGGAATCAGCTCAGACAGGAAAAAACTAAAATTTAAATAGCTCTTTACACAGGCAGCCATTTCCCTGGGGAAGTGCAGGACATCCCTGATGCTCTGTGAAGACTTTGGTGACTGATACTGACTTTATGAGCCCCTCTGTTTATTCCTTGACTTAATGAGAAATGTGCAAAGGGAGTTATATAGAATCTGAAGGCAGCCGTAATCATTCACGCACCCAGCTTAACATATACACAATATAAAGTGCATTCAACTGTTCTGATGGAGTGGAACAGCTATAAGGGAAATATTTATAAAATGCTTAACAAATATTGTGCTTTACTTGAAAATGAATGCCAGAAAGATGTTTCTGGCGTGAACAATTGTGTGTGGTATTAGGCCAATGGCATCACGGCTAATGGTAACTAGCAAGCTACATCCATTTCTTGTCTCTCTTTGCTGTAGTTTTGTTTGGTTTTGTCGTGGTTTTTTGGTTTGATTTTTTTTTATTTCCTCACCACCATAAATAATAATACTGTCTTAATTGCTGCAGTTAAAAAGGTAAAAGCTGCTTCTAAGCCTGATTTGTGATAGTTTTCTTTAATTTTACTCATCATGACAAAATTGTACTAAACAAACTCTTTAGTTTGTTAGATTCAAGATGCAGAATTTCTGCATAAAATCACAACTGCCTACAATCCTTGGTTTAATGATAGTCAGTAAATAAAATTTTTGAACTCTCTCATCCTGAATGAAGAACCTCACAGTTTTTTGCATAAAAACAAAAATTTAATATTGTAAATCTGTTCTTTCCTATGAAAGGCATAAAGAAATATCAATCTCAATAACTGCTTAGCCTTTCCTAAAGGGAGATACCAGACATAAAAATTGGAAAGATAAAGACATTAAAAAAATATATAAAAAATGCTGTTATGAAGAATGCATTCTGTTACATTCAGATATTTCAAATAAAACTTCAATATCATATTAAGAAAAAACCTCTATAGTAGACAGCAAGATGTACCCAGAGTTGGTTATTTTGTGTGTGATGCCATTTTTTTTGGTATGAAGGAGAACTGTAAAGCAAAATTTTTTTCTGAAAAAAAATTAGATAAATCTGAGGCCTCAGTACCATGGTATTAGATGGAAATTTTAAAGTTAAAATGATACTTGAAATGCTCCAAAGTGAGCTTTTCTTTAGCCCTAGCAAGATTAGGGTTTTGTATCAAAATAGGGGACTTAACACTTCAGTTCTACCTTAGACCTTCTTCAAGGTACAGGTTCCAGTTCTGAGGCACCCATAGATATTACCAGGAGTGACTTCAGGTTTTATTTGTAGGAGTTGTATTGAGAAGTCTGTGTATATCTAAAAAAATAAAATAATCCTTGTTCTGTGACAGTTTCTTCACTGACAGATGCTTTTGAAGGCTGTCAGTTGGCCATTCCTTAATCCACTCAGTTTGGGTTGTACTGATATTTCATAGCAGTCATTATTAAATCAGCTCAGCTTTCTTATGGTAGATTACAGATTGGTCTCTGAACCATCTGTGGCTGTGTATCTGAATGTGTAAGCTCGTGGGTGCCTATTTAGAAACAAGGCAGTAAATTGATGATGGTTCAGAAAGGAACAGGAGCTTGAAAAAGAGCCTGGCTTCTAAACATCTGAAAAGAAATGGTTGTTTTGTGTGGTGCATCTTGCTGCACCAGCATAGTCAAGATCTGCAAGAATCTTCCAAAATTGCCTCAAGTTCCTCCAGAATTTTCCCATTTAGAATGGGATTAACTAAGATTTGTCTTCTATAAACAACCAATAACATTTATTAAAACAGTGTAATAAGTTTTCAGACTAAAATTCACCATGGTTAGGGGAAAAAAACCCCACACATAGCCAGCTGTAGTTTTTTTATGCCTAATTGTTGGTACTGTGGGGGGAACAGAATACTGTTTGAATTTCGAGGACTTCTTGTGCTTCAACTATTTGACAAGAATCTAGTTTTCATAAGAGGGAAACTTTACCTATTCACATTGCTTCATCTCTCCTACTTTCTTGAGAAGTTGGTACTTCAAAAGAAGGATTTTATTATGATAATAATAAAAAAGTCCTCCCACTTTATATTGTGTAAAAAAATTATATCCTTTCTACCTCTAACTTGCTTTTAAAAACAGTTTTGCTTGAAATTTTCCATAAAAAGAGTTTCTCAAAAGGCTGGTATTAATAAGATATTAGGTTATATATAAGTCTGATTATGCGACATTTCAAAAATTCTGACATATTTTTCTAATTCTAGTGATATATACCTCAAAGACATTTGTTTTAAAGCAACAAATGCATTCATTTTTCCTCAGTGAGAACTGCACAAAAGACTCTTTAGCATATGCTTCAAATTCAGTTACTTATTATGCAATTTAATGTGGAATAACTTTTGAGCTAATTGGCTAACATTTCCCGCCTTCTAGAGAAAATGATATCAAGATATATAAGTGGTGTAACAGAAACTTTTACCCTGATGATGTAGAAGATTCCTCATGTATTTACATGTTATTTTTAAAATAAAGTGGAAGGTGATGTGGCACATGGAAGTACAGAACTAGTCAAAGGTATTTTATTTCTTCAGTTTTGTGATTTCATTGTTGTTTTTTAACCAGGTGGATTTTTTTATTTACTAGTTTATTAACCATGCTAGTTTAATGAGACTTCTAGTTGTCATCATTTTTAATCTACAAGATCTAAGACTTTCAAGTTTCAAAGTCATCTGATTTATGAAGGCAGTAAGAGTATGGATATAAATCATCTCTGCAGTGTTCAGAATCCTTCTAAAACTAAATGGTCTTAGTCTGAATCACAGCCTACACTACCTAATGTCAGCTGCATTGACCACAAAGTGAAAAAGCATATCTGTCTCAGCTATGGTCATAATTGGACCTGATGTTACCAGATAGGTGCCTCTGGATGCCTTTGTTCAGGAAATTTAAATTCTTATTCAACATCTTGTTTGGATTTAAAAAAAAAAAAAACAACCCGAATTTTGTAAGCTTTTTGTAGGAGACATTTCCCTGCAGTTGCTGAAGCTTCCTTCTTTCACACATTCTCAGCGTGTTTCTGACTTCCTGCACGACTTCATGCACTGGTTGCTGGCAACTTTGTCCCATGAATCAATTTATGGAGACAGGATATTTCCTGAAAAACAAACTGATTGTGTGTTCCACTATCTCTGGTTTAGGCTCATGAGCCAGAGTATTTTCTTTTTACTCTCAGCTTGTATCTTATGCTTCTAACGCTGAATTTTGCTGGCCATGGGAACTACAATGTGATTTTCTGCCACAGAGCACAGAGGTTCATGCCCAATCTTCCCAGATTGCAAAAAACCCTGTGTGCTCTTAAAAGCTTGTGCCAGTTTTTTTTTCTCTACAGTTCGTAAGCAACTTGCTTTCACATTTTCATTATACATTTATTTTGAATTCATTACCTCTGAGTACAAATCTCTGGTCACTGAAACCAAAAGGCCCTTTATTTCCACCTTCTCCAGGACTACAATTTAGAGGGAAACTATTTTTTTTCCCCTCTCCTTGTGAAGTTCATTATACTTTTCAAGAACCATGGGCCATTCACTTTTTAGGAGAAAGTCTACTTCTTTTACTCAGTAATTATTTGAAATATAAATGTGATGAGATGTGATTTTGTAAATTCAGTTAACTCTTCCATGTTACAGTGGACCTTGGAATACAAGATTAAATAAAATATGGAAACCAAAAACTAAACCAGAGAGTTACAAATGTATAGAAAAATGATAATTATAACAAACTGGCTGGTGTTTCGTCCACAGCTTGATCAGCTGATGTTTTATCCACAGCTCGATGCAGTGAAGTTATGAAGAAACTGGTACATTATGGAATATCTAACTCTGTAACACTTTTACTAGTCAGGCTTGTACAATACTCCTACCAGGTCAAGGACAATGGAGAATCACAAATCTTAACAGGTGGGTCCAAAGCACAAGCAAGAGAGAAGAATCTCTTACCTTCTTGAGCAGATACCATTACTTAATAACACACATGTCTCTGAATATTTGCTACTCAGAAGAGAGACATTTCCAGTTCTCTTTCCCAAGATGATAACCTAAAAAGGTCAGAGGTTATAAAAGACAACATCCAACACTGTTAACCTTCTGTTAGCACTTGGTTCAGTTGGGTGAATGATACTTTAACCTGATTTCACTTTGATTCTCTTCTGTTCCGCACACCAATGACAAGGCTTTTTTTCTTCTTCAGAAGTCTGATCTGATGAGTTCTGGTCCACTGTGATAGAGCTGGTTATAATCAATCAAAATGTGCTTAATGACAGCAAAAATGAAAAGAAGGATTAGTTACTGACTGGAGAAAAACTTTCTACAATTTTAAAGGTAATAAATAGGAGTCTGAAATCCTTTTTGTACTCCTTCCTTTTGTGCAAATAATTTTTCATTACCAGAGGGTTTAGGAGATTTTATTTTAGTCCCATCAGATTGTCAGTACCACAAAACCAGTTTTTAATCAACATTGATTGCAGGGAAGACACCTGTCTGGTCAATCATGAGGCATGGATGAGCTTAGGATCTGTACACACCACATGATGTGAACAGGAAGGCATTTACTTGACAGCTCCTTTTCCAAGGGTAATTCTTGATAGCTGTAGTGCTCTGTAAAGGCACTAGAGAATTTGGGACTTTGGAGGTCATATTCACACACATTCTTCAACCTGCTTTTCCTCCAGTGATTTTGTTCAAATTTGGTGATTCTTCCTGATAGAAAAAAGGAAAATCTGGTTCTAACTTTAGTTTGTATTAGTGGTTCCAGCATACTTGGGATGGTGTCATTTGTGGTCTATATTTACAAAATTTCAGGTTCAATATATTGTATAACTGTAAGCTCAGCTTACCTCCTCTTTCTTGTGAGCTCTGTGATGGTGGTTTTGTTAAGACTTGTGTCTGAGGTATAGAACGTGAGTGTTACACATAAAACAGATTCATACCTTTGTCAAAGTTAGGATAAGTAGAGGTGAAAAGTTCCCATTTAATAACATACAGAGAACTGTATGTTATGTCTCAATGAAGAACCCAATAAAGGCACTGACATCAACCACTAGTTGGTGTTAAGACCAGATGTGGCCAGATCTGACTTGTCTGTCACTTGCATTTCTCAGTCTCCCCAGATACCTGAGACCTCGACCAGCCCAAATTATCCAGCTCTAGCCTCAGCAGGAGAAGGATGAGTGTCAGCTGATGAGATCCCAAAAGCAAAAGAGAATCAATGAATGCTAATTAACTTCACCTCTCCTGACCCTAACACTTGTATAGTTGAGAGCCAGCTCTGCTAGTGATAAGGGAAGGATCTCTGCCTGAAACTTCTCTCAGTGTAAATACTATCTGATGGACAATGTGGACACAATAAATTTGCTTCTTATGCTTAGAAAGTGGTAATAGTATTTGCTCCTTTAAAGAAGACATAAATATCTGGGTGAAAGCATTCACCCTGCAGAGCCGATCTGCAGACCTCAGCCTGTATGACTACAGACCAAATATACTCTTAGTATAAGGCCACTTTAGAGGACCACAGACATCAAAATGTGAACAGGGCTGGTACACACTTGTCTAACAGAACTGGCATTCCACTTCACTCTTAGTTGCAGCTGGGATGTTGTTTTGGGGTGGTCTTACACGTAGAGGCCCAGAGGGAATACTGGTACTGACATTCAGAAAATGTTTGACAATTTTCTTGGTCCAGTTTGAGTTTAGGACACTCTGGTGTTGACTTGCTATGGCAATGGAGGAAAAGGATTCTGAATGGGTTCACCAACACATACTCCTACTGTGTCATACAAATCTCCCTAACCCTTATTATCTTATTTACCTCTTGAGATTTAAAAGGGTATCACACCTTATATTTCCCTGACATGCACAGCAACAGTCTCAGAGCTATTATTCTACCTAGTTTTCGTTAATCATTTACATCCCATTAGCATAGTTTATTTTTTCATACCCATAACATTCAGTAAGTAGCATAGAACCTTACTTTTAATGGAAACAGCAGTTTCAAAGAAAGTGGTATTTCAAAGTTGTGCTACAATGACTCATGGATTTATATGTGTAGTTTCTGAACTTTTAGCTATTTAAACCTTTAAATGACTTTAAATAAAAAAGAATCACAACACACTGCACTACTCTCAAAATTAATTGAGGTGAATAATTGAGAAAAATTGGCTATTTCTCTTTGAAATGACATAATTATCAATAGTTAGTACTCCTTCGTTTCTGAAGTGTCAGAAGCACCAAAAAAACTACTTAAAACAGGAACTTTTATCTACTTTTATGTTGTCCTATTAATCTCTGCAAACACAGACATACTATATGATCTGAGAATTTCATCAAAGACTGGTGAGGCAAATGGGATGTTTTCCATTCAGCAGAGACAAGAGTTCAGGTTTCCAATTAATCTTACAATTACCTGTGTCATTTTTGAATAATATAATGCTACCTAATATTACAACTCTTCTGAAAGTGCTAAGGAAGATGCTGAAATGCATGTCACCCATTACTGATTGCAAGCTCCATTTACTGTTAAAACAACTAATATTTGTGTTAGTTATTTTGTTCCTCTCCCTTACAAATACTGACACTTCTCATAAACAAGGAAAAGACTTAGGGATAGCAACTCATACCAGTGTAAACTGGGACAATATACCAGCTTTCCTCAGAAGAGGTTGACTCCAGTTCTCCTGCTGTTAACTTATACAACCCCACAATAAAAGACCAGAATATGACCATTGGTAATGCTTTGTGAGAGAGGCTGAGAAAGAAAATGTCTTGAAAAATGGCATGCTCTCCTTTGCATGACTGTGTTTATTTTTTAATATGTTAATGTTATCACTGAATTGGTGAAATATTTTTTTCTAGTTTACCATGGCTTAAAGACCACTTCTAAGATTAATTCAGGAACACAGAGGAAAGGTATCCAAAGTTAAAGGAAGCCATGAGATTTTATAACTAGCTCTGAGAGCTTTGAGGAAAAAAAATGCTTAGAAAATGGATGGCCAGTTTGTAGCTGCACTGTAGCAGGAGCAGGTGTACTTTGGATGGTAGTGGGAAATATTTAAAACTTCTTTCTGTTGCAGACACTGCTGCCTGCCATTAATGCCTACTTGCAGTTTGCAGAACACAGGATATTTCAAGAGATGGAGTGAATATTAGAAGATATATGACTGTCACGGCATCTGTGGGGACAGTTCAACATGAATTTTCAGTCCTGAAGAAGAAAAAATGCCTACAGGGGCATAGAGGAAATTGAATATCAATTGGGAAAAGTTACTTTATTAGCAGTTCTTCAGTATAACAGAAAAGTAAAATTAATGAGTTAAGAGGAAAAGGCACTGACAGTCCCTTAAGGGGTACAGATGCTTGTGTGAATGAGTCATACCACTTAGGGGAATAGGAGTCTGGATGTACATACTTTCTCTTTATCTCTGCACAAAGAAAGGATAAAATACAAAAGGGAGATTGTTCTGCAGAGGTAGAAAGAACTCCAGAACCCACAGGACTGCATATATTTTTTCAGAAAGGACAGTTCAGAGGAAAAATTGCTACCATCTAGTTGTTCCTTTTCTTTTATTATGCTACTTTATGGAAATGTAAGTGAGCAGCATAGCCTGCAAATTTAACCTCATAAATAGTGTGAAGATTTAGAGTTGGAGATAACCTTGTTATCTTACTCTGTCTTCCTGTGCTCATTTCAAATCTCATTAAAGTGTGTCATGACTAGGGAAGAAAAAAGTCCTGTTTATACCTAGTTCATTCTCTCTCTCTTTTTTTCTTTTTTTTTTTTTTAACCTGCAGAGATCCAGCCAGAATACATCTTTAAAAAAAATTGTTTTCATCTTTTAAAATTCACTTTTATGCTTCTTCATTTGCCTGCTCTCTCCTTGTTGCTTTTGTACTTCACACAGTTCTGTGTCTTTATCCCATTAGAGGTTTGATGAGAGGGAAAGCAGGCAAACTGCATTGCTATAGAGCTACAGCTTCCAGGCCATTCAGTGTCCAGATCTCTATGGAATCCCCCACGAAGCAACAGTGACACACGTTATCTCTCCTTGTGACCTAGGCTTGCCTTTTGCTTTCACTCACACACAGGCTGCTCTATAAAAAGCAGTTGTGTGACCCATGCTTGATCCTGTTACATAATCCAGATCAGGCAGAGGTGGGGCCGCTGTGGACCAGGCTACACCTTAACTGCACTTTTTAGAGGTGACAGTCATGGATAAATCTTTAGATAGAGCTGATGCAGGATGGCTAGATTGTGTTGGCAACTGATTGCATTTTTTCGGTTCCTTGAGACAAAGGAGAGAAGGAAGTAAAGAACAGGGCCTTCAATTTGTATATTGATAGGAAGGTGATTTATGCTTCAAATCTCCTTCAGGAAATTTCAAGGGAGTGATACCACATTTTGCGTTAGCTGATTTAGGTGTTATACTTGAAGTCCTACGAGTGCTAAATTGCTTGAATGTTTAATCCATGCAGTACAGTATTCATTGCAAAGAATATAAAGAGATATTCTCAGGTACAGACATATACTGATATTTAGTTCACAGAACAATCTGAAACCTTTGATCATTCTAAGGGTGTACTTTTCATAGGTAAAAATAGCTGTTCTTTTCTTTTAATAGCAGGATACTACAAATCAAACAGAGATGTATATTTTTTTCTCTTCAAAATTTCCCTGAGGCTGATTGCAGTGAACTGTCTCATGCCGTTTGACTTTAGAAGTAGGACACTAAAGTCTGCAGATTGCTTGCCTGGCTGACTAGGTAATTTTGTTCTATCACTGTCCTTGTCCTTACGTGCAGTACATCCTCAAAGTGTTGGTATCTATTCTATTTTTAGTGCATGAAGTTTATAGTATATGGACAAGGTCATCTAATTCCACAATCTCTTTCCACTCTCGTGATATTTTGTTCTGATTTGTGAGAATTTGACTGATTTTGAGGAAAATTTTCTCCTGCTGCTGCCTGCATGCTATTAGACCCCATTCTCTCGAAAATTAAGTCACTTTCCCCCAAAATCAGGGACAAAGACAGAAACCAACTGAAGAAGAGTGGGAAGAATTAAACTTCTCTTCGGTGGGGAAGAGGCAGGGAAAGAACAAATGACCTCTAAGTGCCCAGTTGTCTCTTCCCTTTATAAGTCAAAGACCATCTTCAACAGTGTCAATCAGACACACATTTCCTTCCCTGGTCTCAACATCACCAGTCAAAACAGCCCTACAGCACTCTGTTCACTGCCAAATGTTCCTGTCCCTTTCACTTTCAGCTGCCTCTGGAAATGTTTAATGTGGCACTGCAAAATGACTGGTAAAAAATTCAAGAGCATTATTTACTATGGTACTTTGATGTTTTATTGAATGAAACCACCTGCTCAGGAATGCTTCCCAACGTTGTGGGCTAGCTCTAGAATTTACAGCTGCAATATAGCTTGTCTGAGGGAGTTTCACAGCAGAAATGCCACTCAATGGATCACAAATATGTAAGACTAGGTGAGAGGAATATCAAGAAAGCTTCTATTTCCTACTACTCCTATAAACAGTGTCAACTGACTTCTTCATAGTATCCAAAAATAATTGCTTTTTTTTTCCTTTCCAGTCTGATAGCTATGCTTTATGTGCTCTAAAAACTTGTGATTGAGAGTATTTCCTGAATTACTCCAATGCCTCACAGGATGTCAAGTGTCTACTTGTGGCTGATAGCAAAATGCAC